AGTTTTTTTAACAACAATGGCCAAAGTTATTTGATTTTTTTTTGGTTTAAGACGTAAGCAATTTAAACGTAATTAACTAAATTTTAGCCTATTGAGCGTTTGTTAAAAAAATGATTTTTTTCTAAGGCAACTCAAACAATAAAAGCATAATTTTTTTTTTGGAAAGTGTGATAAATTTTAGAATAAATTGGAAAAACGAACTTACTTTTAATATTTGTGATTATAGAAATGGAAATAATTTATTTAATTTTTTATTTAACAAGGAGCGCGTTTTGGTTGTCTTTCGTTTAGGGTATTATTTTTTCGACGATTTCCTTTGGGTTTCCTTCTATTTTCAGGTTCCATATTTTCTTCTTCTCTTTATTTTTTTTGGGGAAAATAATATTTGTTTTTATTTTATTTTTGTTTACATGTTTTTTTGGTAAAATCAAATATAAATAATTGAATCAAGGTTTGAATTAGTTAGTTACGTTTAAAAACTATTTCGCAAGAGTTTTTTGTGTCTTTTTTTTGTTACTTTCTTGTTTTTGTCTTGAGATTTTCCTTTTTGTCTTTTTTGTTAGCACTTCACTTGAAAAGTTTGGTTTACTTTTGTCTTTTTTGTAGCTGGTCTTTTGAGCTTAGTTTTTTAACACCATTTTTCATTTTTTTGTCTTTTTGGTGTTTGATTTTAAGTTTTTCTTCGACTTCCTTTCAGCAGCATTTTTTGTTGTTTTAGTTTTTTTTTTAATTGATTACTGAGTCTGTCTTATTTGAGTTTTTTTTCTGTGTTTTTTAGCAACATCATCACAACACGTCTTAATTGGTTATTTTTGTTTCCGATTTTATTTTTCAACACGACTTTGAAATTATTGTTGTTTCCTTCCGGGTTTTGTCAGTTTTGAGTAAAGTTTTAGTATTTCGTTTCCGTTTTTTTTCGAAAACTTTGATTTCTGCGCCCCAACTCCAAGTTTGTTTTTAATGTTATTCGGTTTTGAATCGGTTTTGTATTGTAGTATATTGGTTTTGTCTTAGTTTCGGTTTGGTGAGTGTAGAACAGTGTCATTGTCTTGGTGTCGATTTGGTGTATTTACTTTTTTCTATTAAACCATGGTCAGGCTCAAATTTAAAGAGTTTTTTTTCAAATAAAATATATGAATGTTTAGAAAGAGAATTTTTAATCTTCACAAATTTTTTTAAAGAAAAATCCAAGTAGAGATATTCTTCTTTCAAAATCATTTCGATTTGTAACAATATCTCATGTAGCTTAAAAGTTCTGAATATTTAGAGACAGCAATGCAAAAGTGGGCAAAAAATTAAAAATTTAAGCGTTGGCATAATTTTACCCATAACTCGGGAAGTTGGCGAGACACTTTAACTTATCCAAAATGTGTCTCATAGAGGGTGTTATCATTTTTTATTAGCATGTAAATTTAGAAAAATATCTTCAATATTTTAGAAGTTATCGTGTTTTGAAGACAGTGACCTAAAAGTGGTTACAAGTTGTAATGTTTTAGGTCTTGTGAATTTTGGCATATAACTCGGAAAGTTACAAAGCTATATCAATACGCCTAAAAGAACGCTCAAAGTAGAGATCATTTTCTTTTAAAATCATTTTAATTTTTAAGAATATCTCATATAGTTTAAAAGTTATGGCCTTTTAAAAACAATAACGCAAAAGTGAGTAAAAAATTAAACATTTAAGCGTTGTCATAATTTTACCCATAACTCGGGAAGTTGAAGAGAAACATTGATCTACCCAAAACATATTTCAAAGAGGTGAATATCCTCATTCAAAATCTTTTCAATTTTTAAAAATATCTTCAATATTTTAAAAGTTATCGTATTTTGAAGACAGTGACGCAAAAGTGGTTACGAATTGCAATATTTTAGGTTTAGCGCATTTTGGCCTATAACTCGTATAGTTGAAGAGATATATCAATATGCCTAAAAGTATACTCAAAGAAGAGATCATTTTCTTTCAAAATAATTTTAATTTGTAAGAATATCTCATATACTTTAAAAGTTATGGCCTTTTAAAGACAATAACGCAAAAGTGGGTAAAAAATTAAACATTTAAGCGTTGTCATAATTTTACCCATAACTCGGAAAGTTGAAGAGACATTTTAATTTACCCAAAACGAGTCTCATAGAGGAGATTGTCCTCCTTCAATATCAAGAAAATTTATAAAATAATCTTCAATATTTTAGAAGTTATTGAGTTTTGAAGACCGTGACGCAAAAGAGTTTACAAGTTGTAATGTTTTAGGTCTAGTGAGTTTCGACCTATAACTCATGTAGTTGCAGAGATACATCAATATGCCTAAGAGAATGCTCAAAGCAGAGTTCGTAATCTTTCAAAATCATTTCGGTTTGTAAGAATATCTCATATAGCTTAAAAATTATGGCTCTTTAAAGACAGTAACGCAAAAGTGGGGAAAAAATTTAAATTTTATGCGCTGGCATAATTTTTCCCATAACTCGGAAAGTTGAAGAGACACATTAATTTTCTCCAGACGTATTTCAAAAAGGTTAATATCCTCATTCAAAATCTTTTCAAGTTTTAAAAATATCTTCAATATTTTAAAAGTTATCGCATTTCGAAGACAGCGACGCAAAAGTGATTACAAACTGTAATATATTTGGTCTAGTGCATTTTGGCCTATAACTCATGTAGTTGCAGAGATACATCAATATGCCTAAGAGAATGCTCAAAGCAGAGTTCGTAATCTTTCAAAATCATTTCGGTTTGTAAGAATATCTCATATAGCTTAAAAGTTAGGGCTCTTTAAAGACAGTAACGCAAAAGTAGGCAAAAAATGTAAATTTTATGCGCTGGCATAATTTTACCCATAACTCGGTTAGTTGAAGAGACATTTTAATTTACCCGAAACGTGTCTCATAGAGGAGATTATCCTCCTTCTATGTCAAGTAAATTTATAAAATAATCTTCAATATTTTAGGAGTTATCGGGTTTTGATGACAGTGACGCAAAAGTGATTACAAATTCCAATCTTTTAGATTTTGTGCTTTTTTGCCTATAACTTGGGAATTTGCCAAGATATATCAATATGCCTAAAAGTATGCTCAAAGTGGAGATTATCTTCATTTCAAATAATTTTAATTTGTAAGAATATCTCACATACTTTAAAAGTTATCGTTTTTTAAAGACAATAACTCAAAAGTGGGTAACAATTTTAACATTTAAGCCTTGGTATAATTTTACACATAACTCGGGAAGTTGAAGAGATATCTTAATATACCTAAAACGTACTTCAAAGGGGTGAGTATTTTCATTTCAAATCTATTTAATTTATAAAAATATCTTTAGTATTTAAAGAGTTATTGCATTTTGAAGGTACTGACGCAAAATGGGTCACAAATTGATACATTTAAAGACTTGCAAATATTTGCCCATAACTTGGGTATTTGCAGAGATACATAAATGTGTCTCGAACATAACTGGAAGAGGAGGATTATTTCCTTCCGAAAATCAAGTTCTTTTGTAAAGTAATCTCCAATAATTTTAAAGTTATGGCTTCTCAAATGGAATGGCCATAGCTCAGGCAGTTGGAAAAATACATAAATGTTGCGAGAGCATGATTTGAAAAGGTGTTTATTTTTTTCAAATTTCATCTATTTTTTGAACACATCTTAGCTATTTTAGGAGTTATGACACTCAAAAAATTATGCAATAATTTTTTTTTCTATTTTTTCTGTGGGATTGGAATGCATTTAAACGGTTTGTTTAAAAAGAGAAGAGAGTGAATAATATTTGCTGTTTTTTTTTAATCTAAAAATATTCAAATAATTTTTTTTGAACTTATTTTTTCATAATTAAATTAAAGCCTAACTATGGTTGAATTTTGTATTTGTTTTTTTTTTTTTTGTTAATTTGGTGAAATATAATTTTTTTGTTGTTTGTGTACTTGTTTGTGTCCATGTGTAAGTTAGGTGGTGTTTTTGGTTTTTGTGCTTAAAAAGTTTGTTTGTTTATTTTTATTTTTTATATAATTTTTAGATAAGTTGTTGTTTTTTGTTATTGTTTTGCTTTTCATAATAACTTTATGTTATTTTTTGTCAGCTGTGCTTTTAATTGTTGTTGTTGTTGCTGGTTTTAAAATATTATTACTTTTTGGTTTTGTATTTGGCAGTCGGCTTAAATGTTAAATAAGTATTTGTTTTGTTTTTTGGTTTTTTTTGTTTTGTTTAAAAAGCAGTTATTTAAATATATTTATAATGATTATAAATTTTTTACAATTTCTTTGGTTTTTGTTTTGTTTTTTTTTAAGATGTATTTTTTATGGTTGCATAAAATTCTGTAGAAAAACTCAAAAATTTCGGTTTTGGTGTATTTTTTAATTTTAAAGTAGTTTTGTGTTTTTTTTTTATTTTTAAATAAAAAAAAATTAATCAAAAATTAAACAACATAAAAACCCGTTTACAATACAATTATCAGAGCTTGTAAATTGAAATATTTTTTTGGTTTTGTGTATGAATATTAGTTTTTTTTTATTATTTTTTTTTTATAATAATAATAATCCCATTTATTAATTATATATTGTTTTTTTTAATATATACAATATTTTATATATTCTCCTAAGAAATTAATTTAAAAAAAATATAACTGAAATATGAAAAAATATTAATAAAAACCCAAAAAAAATTAAAAATAAAATTAATTAAAATCATATATATAAAAATTAAAAATATTAAAAAAAAATCATTTGAATTTTTTTTGTTAAAAAAAAATATTCCTTAAAAATTTTTCCATATTTTTTTTTATGGGTAATTTTTGTTATAATTAGAAAAAATATTTATTGTTGTAATTGTTCTTGCTGTTGTTGTTGTTAAACCGCCTCCATCCGTTTGATGTTGTTCTTTGTTGTTGTTGTTGTTGATGTAATCTGGGATTTCCGTTTTCTATGCCTTCATTTTACGGTTTTTGTTTTGCTTCCATTTTTGTTGATGTTGTTGTGGATTTTTTTTGGTAACTGAAATAATTATTTGCGCTTTGTTTGGTTGTTGTACAGTGTTCTTGTTGTTGTTGTGTAAAATGTGTACATTTGTATTCTTGTTGTTGTTGTTTATTTAGTAGCAGAAAATTAACGCTTTAGTTCTCGCGTGCATCTTGGAGGGGGGGGCGAGGCCTGGCTCAGACATCTGCCGTCCTGGATGTTATGCTCGGCGATCTCGAGTGTATTACAACCTTATGACCGTTTTTTGTAACAAAACCATCGCTTTCGACCAGTACGGCCGTTTGGCGGCCATTACTGCCGCCACTAACACAGCCCGGACTAAGGGGGCCGCCGACGCTGCCACCATCTGCTTCGCCGGCATCTGGATCTGAGGGTGATGTGGCTCCCGCCGCCGTCGCTGAGCCACCATCATCACCGCCGCCGCCGCCGCTGCCGCCTTCACCCTCACCGCCTTCAGCACCATCTTCGCCACCAGCCGCCTCGCCCTCATCACCCTCCTGGGGTGGGCCATTCTTGTAACGCCGCCACGCATTCTGTATCAGCTTGGCGCAGTACTCCTCACGCTGGCGCCACAGTGTCGACGACACCGGATCATAGCCCTCGGTGTCCGGTCGCGCCGCTATCTCACCAATTTCACCCGTCTCCTCGATCGGATTACCCTTGCGCGCAAAGAAGTCCTTGGTCAGGGCATCCAATATATCCACACAGTACATCATGTCGCCCCGACATATCGGCATGTCCATCGATATGATTTTGTACTTGTTCGGCTTGTGGATCTGCAGCGGCGGCTCCAGCACGTCCAGGAACTCGGACAGCTGGTCGTAGCGTATGTACTGGGTGCCCTCCGGATCGAATTGTTGCCAAATCTCGTAGTACATATCGTAGTCGTCGTCGGTGAGACCCTCCTGTACATCCTCCGTAGCCTGGCTATAGTTCTCGAGAATGACAGCAATGTACATATTAATAACTATCAAAAAGCTTATAACTAGATATGAAAGGAGAAACGTAATTCCAACAGTCGCTGAACCACAATTGCCCGGATAGCCCTTGTCGTTGTCGGGTGGATCGCAATCTTCCTCATTGATAATGGCATCTAACACACCATCCCAACCGGCTGAGGTAGACATCTGTGTGGGGGGGCACAAGGCGGACCACAAAAATGTCGCAGAGGCCAATTTGTTTTTTTTCAAGGTTTTGAGATTTGGAGGCACGGTTGGAACGGTTGGCATAGAACGTGGAGGTGGTGGTGGTGGTGATCGTGGGTGGTAGGTACGTCGTGGGTCGTTTATTTTGTTCAAGAAACGATTATTTGTTTCAGATTTTATTTCGGTTTGTTTGTTTGATGGTCGCGGCAGTGGAAAAAAGTTTGTTAGAAAGTTAAAGATTTCGAAATTAGTTTTCAAACGTCAACGTTATGGCAAAAGAAATGAGCAACAATTAACATTAAATGTAATTCTATAAAAAAAAATTGTTAGTTTCTATTTTTTTAGATTATATTACAAAGTTTGGAACTTTTTTACAACTTGGTTATCCCCCACTACTGGGATGAACCAAAAGAATTCTAAAAAGGGATTCGCCGTGGTTAGTAAAATCAAAACTCAAGAGAAACTGAAAAAATGAACTTAATTAGAAAGCCAAGGTTAGCTTGGACGACTAACCAAACTACAGCGTCTTTTTCCTCTCTCTCTCGGTTAAACGAGGTTCTCCTCAGAGATGGAGAGAGAGAGAGAGAGAGCGCTTGAGAGTTACAGGGGAGATAACTACAAAGCTTTTTCGGTTTAGGTGTTTCCTACAAATGTCCATCAAGCTTTACTACCAAAAGCTTTGGTTCCGGTTCCGGTGAGTTTCTAAAATGTCTTGAGGGGACGGGGAATGGGTGCTCAGTTTTCTTTTGTACGTGGATAACTTTGTCTGCAAGCTTATTTTGTTGTAAGGCATTTCTTTGTATATATTTCCAAGCCATATTAGTTAAGTAATTTTTGTTTTTTTTTTAATTTTGTTTGTTTGCTGCTTTCATGTTCCCTTTTTTTGGGTGTTGAGCCCAAAAAAAGAAAGCTTTTTTTTTTCTATTTTTTGGTATACGGTTTCTTATTGAAATTGTTTGAAGCCTTGATTTATTTTATCCATTTAGGAGAAGTTTTTCACTTCTCTTCTTTAGTTTCTTTTTTTTTTTTTTTTAATTGAGGATTTGCACATTATTTCTCTATTTTCTTTTTGGTGTTTGTTGAAAGAGCTGAATTAGATTTGAAATTTCGTGGGTATTGTTTTGTTTTTTTCATTTGCAGAGGAAAGCTTATGAGAAAGTTTTTGGGGATTGAAGAGCCAGAAAACTAAAGAGTTAAGGCAGAAAAAATGGGGTATTGGGCAAAAGAAGTAAGAGAATCTAGTATAACGCTAAATGAGAGTTAAATATCTCGAGGAAAGGAGAAGAGAAAAACTTGGCTGAGAGTAGGGAAATAAACAAACTCTTGAGAAATATTGTATCTCTTTTTGGAGTATTGAAGAGATTTTGAAGTTTTCTTTTCTAGAAAGACCTTAATGTATAACTGAGATACATTAGGGTAATTGGTAGAAAAATAAAATGCCTTGAATCTATCTCTTTTTATGGCATAAATCTTTGAAATAATTACTCCATAGAAATCTAGTTTTTTTTTTCATTGAGCACAATATATCTTTTGCTAGTTTGTTTATTTCCTAGGAAAGTTAAAATGTTGGGCGCCATTTTCAATATATATATAAATATAAAATATATAAATACCTTTTTTGCTTCTAAACCCTTTGTCGCAAATATCAAATTTTCTTATTTTGTACCAATCCCACTTAGAGATAAATATTTTTAATTAAAATTTCCGTATTGTCTAGTGATTAGAATAGCCTGCTGGGAAACATTTTCCAAAGTTTACATGGAATTGCCTTCCTTGAATTTAAAATAACTTTAATGTTTTATAAACAAAGATGTTTTTCTAAAAATATACCCTTTGATTTAGATACCTTATAGAGATTTTCCTAATAGTTATTTATAAAATATCTTCTAAGGAACGATATTTTTCTTAAATTTCCCCTGTGGTTTATATTTCAGAGAGCCTTTCTAAATATATAAAGTTATAATATTATTTTTGTGTTTTTTTTTTCTTCTACATAACAATATTTTCATTTAACGATTCCCGTATTGCCTAGTGATTAGGAAAATTTGTTTGAAAAATATAACTTTTCTTTACTAAGTTTTTTTTCCTTGATTTATTCGGCCTTTCTGTTTTTAATATAGAATAAGTTTGTCAATCCCGAGGTCTAATGTTGCTAGAAATTTTTTTATTTATCCATATTTCGCAATTGCATTGACTTATTCAATATTATCCATCTACTAAGGATAAATATTCAAATTAATAGATATTGTCTCGATATTTCAACTTTTGATGAGCCTTTACTAACTCTATGAAAAAACCTATTTTTTACTAATTGTTATCCAAAGTGAGACATTCTTTTAAAAAAATCCGTATTGTCTAGTGATTAGAATGTTTTAATCTTTGATTAGCACCTTGCCGCTCTATGAAAAATTTCTTGTTTTATATATCGAGGTCTAATACTGCTTAAAATATTTTTTATTTATCGATATTTCGCAATTGCATTAACTTATTCACTATTATTTATCTACTAAGGATAAATATTTAAACTAATAATTATTGTCTCAATATTTTAATATTTGATGAGCCTATTCTAGCTCTATGAAAAAGCCTATTTTTTACTAATTGTTATCCAAAGTGAGACTTTTTTTTTTTAAACAATTCCGTATTGTCTGGTGACTAGAATGTTTAGATCTTTGATTAGCACCTTGCCGCTCTATGAAAAATTTCTTATTTTATATATCGTCTTCTAATATTGCTAAAAATGTTTTTTTATTTATCGATATTTCCCAATTACATTGACTTATACAATATTATTCATCTACTAACGATAAATATTTAAACTAATAACTATTGTCTCGATATATTAACTTTTGATGAGTATCTTCTCGCTCCAAGAAAAATAGCCTATTATTTACTAATTGTTATCCAAAAGGAGACATTTTTTTTTTAAATTCCGTATTGTCTAGAGATTTGAATGTTTAAGGTTCTGATGAGCCTCTTCCCGCTCTTTGAAAATGACTTTTTTTGTATAACTTTTTATATTGAGATATTTTTTAGAAAATTCCGTATTATTTAGTGATTAGAATATTCGACTATATTTTCTTATCGGCATGTTCTTCCCTAGTAAGCTTTGAAACCTCCCGCTTAAAAATAATTTTTTTATCTATTTAAATATAGAACTGGTTGTCTAAGAATAAAAATATATGAGACAACTATTTTTTTCTAATGAAAATAACTTCCGTGCCTAACCATTATTGCTTCTATATCCAATGTTTTTAAAAATTCTTACATTTCTTTTTCAGATTTTTCTTTCCCACGAAAATCCATTCTAAACTTTTGATAATCTAATATTTTCATTGAAAATTTTTCGTATTGTCTAGAGATTAGGATATTCGACTTAGAAACTTTTTTAATCTCAATTTTTTTAATAAAAAGTAGAAGAATGTCTACTTTTTGAAAAAATGACTCTACCTTTCTTCTATTCTTGACAGTTTTATTTTATTTTTAATAGTGTATATTATATCACAAACATTGGAATAACTTTTGTGTACATATTAAAAATATTGCAACTTTTCTAACAATTATGAGGTATCCCTATCCTAACAAATATTTGGTTTATACGAAAATAATTTTCATTTTAAATTTCCATGGCTAACAATTATTGTCTCTACACCTAATTTTAAATTCTTACATTTCGTTTTCAGACTTGTCTTTTCCGTAGACTATACTTCCCACATATTTTTCTGGGGTAATCTTTTCTAAAAGCCTATATTAAAATCAAAAATGTCCGTATTGTCTAGTGATTAGGATATTCGACTCAAAAACGTTTTGATTCTTATCTCAAATTTCTAAAAAAAAATTCCGGAAACTCTCTAGCAAGTATTCCTTCCAGTTGTCATATAATCTTTCCAAACTTTATATATTTTTTTCTAAAAAATGTTTCCGTAATGTCTAGTGATTAGGACATCCGCCTTTTAACCATTGTTTCTATTCTCAAATTTTTAACAAAAATTAGATTACTCGAAAAAACAAGTTACTTCTTTAGCAAGAATTTCTCCCAATTGTATTTTTATTTTATAGGCTATATGAAATCTGTTCCTTGGGATTTATTTTTTGTAAATATTCTTGTATAATAAATAAAATATTTGGTACAACTATTTTTTCCATGTCAAGATTTCCTTATTATCTAATGTAGCGAATATTTATTGTTCCTATTCCCTTAATCTCTACATTTTTCGTTCAGACTTCTCATAAATATTTTCCCATGGAAATATATTTTAAACAAATTTTCCTGATGTAATCTTTTCTAAAAACTAATGTTTTCATTGAAAAATATTCGTATTGGCGATTGATTAGGACTTCTGCTGATAAAGTCTATTGTTTCAATTAAATTTTTTAACAAAGCTTATATCTACTTCTTTTAACTTCATTCTCTAATAATTTTTAATTTTTACTTGGATATTTTAACTTTTGTAGTCCTTTTGTCTTTGCACAGAAATAGTTCTCTAAACATCTTTTTCTGTAGTGATCTCTCCAAACATAATATATCTTTTCTTAAAAATGTTTCCGTATTGTCTAGTGATGAGGACCCTGCAATATTTTCAAGGTTTTTACATTAATTTACTCTAAATAAAATCATTTTCTTAACTGTTTCTTCTACAAAATATTCACTATTGAGAATTTTACTGAAGATAAATATTGTCAGATACACATTATTGTATTATCTCAATGAAAATGGCGCCCAACTCAAGGGTTTTTCTCTTCTTTTCTCATTGCTTACAAAAAAATAAAGCCCCATATTCAACTTGTTCTACAATTACTATTAAGAAAAAAAAGCTAAAGGGCTTATTTCCAACTCTACAGAGATAACGTTATACTAGAGTCGCCTATATAAACAATTGACATCTTTTTTTTTTTGGAAAACTAAAACTAAAGCAAACTTAAAATACTGGTTAGACTTAAAAACTCAAAGAAAAGCCTTTTGAAAAAAACTAAATGATAGGGGGAGAGGGTTAGCTAAAGCATTAAAATTTAGAATTTTCGCAAAATTTTGTAAATATACAGTTTTCCAATGAAATTTTGTTAGTTATAGATTTTTAGTTAACTGAAATTGAGGGGGGTTAGATAGGATTAAAAAAAAAAAGAAGAACGCACTAATTTAGCTTTTACCAACAACTACCGCAGCTTGAATCAACATGTGATATTCCCTTTTTTATTTTGTTATTATTTTCTGAGGTGTCAGTTTTCGGTGTTAAGTGAAATTCACTAAAACTATTTTTTGTTTATTGTGAGGTTAGTTCTTTCAAGAGTTGAAATGTTTTTGCAAAGTATTTCAATTTTTTTTTCTCAAAAGCGATGTATTTTTGAATATATTTTACAGTGAAATTCCATGTAAATTCGAATTAATTTATTTTTTTAGATTATTAATTGGATTCGATATAGTTTATTTATCTAAGATATTGATATCCAATATTTTATTTGCAAATATAAAAAAACTTCTTCTACAGATATTTTAGAAATCTTTTGTAGCCGTTTTACAGAGGAAAGACTTACTCGGAAGTATATGCCCAGTATCGAGAAAAGGTTCTCTAGAATGAAGTCTTGTATGACATTTTCTAAATCAAGAAAAAAATATCAGAAGTTTATCTCTAGCAAAAATTACACATTACATATTTTCCTGCAAAGCTTTTGGACGGATTTCCTTTCGACGAGTTTGCTAGCGTTTTACAAGAACCTGATATTTCTTAGATATTCTATCGATTACAATTTTATTTAATTTATTTTCCGCATTGTCTAGTGATTAGGATAAAATGTTTTCAATTCATTGCCATTTTTAATTTTTATATTCCGTATTGTCTAGTGGTTAGGATAATCTACTTCAAACTCGTTCGAAATACTATATAAAATAAGGATAAGGAATTGGATTGGAATTGTAGTTACAATTTTCCGTATGGTTTAGTTCATTCCGATTATTTACTTATATTTTCCGTATTGTCTAGCAATAAGGATAACGCACTTGAAAAAATTTCAATTATGCAATTTTTAGGATAAAAGGTTTCAAATTTTTTCTGGATACTAATATAAAATTTGCCGATCTTTTCAGTGTTAAGGATAATCGGCGAAATTGTAAATGGAAGTCCTCCGCATTGATCCCAACTAAAAAAGTTTGTCTAGTGGTTACGGCTTTAGATTAGCGATCTTTTTCTCTTCTCATAGATTATGGGCTAAATGTTCTCAGGGACATTACATTTTCTTTTTTTCTGGATGCTAATAAAACATTTTCCGATCTTTTCAGTTTTAAGGATAATCGGAATTTTTGTCTAGTGGTTATGACTTTAGATGAGCGATATTGTTCTCTTCTCGGAGATTATGGGCTAAATTTTCCCAGGGACATTACATCCCCTTTCATCTAACCCTTCTTGGCTGGAATCTCCCGGAGTAGTGACATTAATTTGAATTCTAATGTTCCTTATTGCCTGGTGGTTTAGCTTTCCTCACAAATTGATTTCGAATGAAATTCTGTATTGCCTAAAGGGTGAGGATAACTCGCATTAAATTGCTTTCAATTATTAATTAAAGTTTCCGTATAGTCTAGTGGTTAGGATAAACCACATGAACTGAATTTCCATTCTCAATTTTTAAATATTCCTTATCGCCTGGTGATTTTCCGTATTTTAGAACTGTTGAGATAACCTATTTGAAAAAAATTCCAGTTTTTATATTTAATTTACTGCATTATTTTTTTTTTGAAATTCTTTGCGCTTCCTATTTTTTGTCTAGTGGTTAAGATAAACTCCAAATTGATTCTAATATCAAATTTTCCGTATTGTCTGGTGGTTTGGATAATCCACATGGAATGAATTTCTATTCTCGATTTAAATATTCCTTTTCGCCGGGTGGTTTAGCTTTCTTTAAATGACGGCCGATTGCTAATTTACAATTTTCCGTATTGTCTAGTGGTTAGGATAAGCTACTTAAAATTAATTCCGAGTTTTAAATTTAATTTACTGTATTATCTTTTCGAAATACCGAGATTATTTATCCTCCCTTCCTTTTTTAATTTTTCATGGAATTCCACAGTGTTTTTCTTTGCAAAAACATTTTTTTAATAACTTATTTCGCTGCAAGAGTTAGTGTATTTTCTTAGTGATTTGTGGGCAGTGTGTATGTGTGAAGTTCCCTTTTTCAAAGCAGAGAACTCATTTTAAGTCTTTGTTTGGCCCAAGATCAAGCTCATCTTGAGGCTTTTCTTTTGGTTGGGAGAAAATACCCCAACATGAATGTGATCTTAGGCCATGTGCGATCAGTGTTAGTTATGTTTGAGTTGTGTTATATTTTCTTTTTAAATATTTAGGTTTTCTTTTCTTTTTTTCTGTGTATACCAAAGGGAATATCACCCAACGACAACAACAATAGACAATATGAACCGTATGAGAATTGTGGTAGCTTACCTGAAACAGCAATATCATACTTTGGCCAAATGTCTTAAAATTATACACAGCATTTATGCCGCTCTTCTCTTTGACATGCATGAAGAAGGACATGCCAAAGATAGCAAAGATGAACATCACCAAGAACAGCAACAGACAAATGTTGAATAAGGCAGGCAACGACATGGCTAACGCGAACAGCAACGTCCGGATACCCTTGGCACCCTTGACTAAACGCAGGACACGACCCACTTTGGCCACTCTCACCACACGGAGCAGTGTCGGCGATACGAAATACTTCTCAATGATGTCGCTGAGTACAAGACCTAGATGTGATTTGGTGATTTACGAAGTGGGAGTTTTTGAATTTTTGATCATTTTCATTTTTAAATTGGTTAAACAAGAGGATAAAGACATGTCACATAAAAATTGAGGGGAAGGGGGTGGGGAATAGGGAGTTGGAATAAGGTGGAGAAATATTTGTTAAAGACAGCAGATTGTTTTTGGTTTCAACTCTTAAAATAGCCTTCCGTTTCAAAATCTTGTTAGTATCTAGGATAACACAAATTTGGTTTTACATACATTTGGCGGACGAGGAGTCAACAGTTATCAACAAAATTTATAAACAAACACAAATTATTAACAATAACACAACACAAAATTTGTCAACATAATAAAGGCTTGGCTGGACTCGAGGCTAGGTTAAATTAAGGTTTTGATTTGTTTTGTTTCGATTTTTTAAAGGTTAGTTTGTTTTAGCTGGGTTAGGCGGCTGCTTGTTAGCGTAGCTTAGCGGAGCGCTTTTTATTTCAATGTGGCCTGGGCTTTAGGTTAGTAGGGAGTTAAGAAAGCTTTCACGGCTGCTTGGTTATACCTTCTAAACTCAAAAACAAATATTAGTTAAATATTTTCTTTTTAAATTGAGTTTTTTTTTTAGAAAAATATGCTATAATAAACAACAAACATTTATTAATAATAATTACAACAAATACAAATACATTTGACATAGATATTTACATAAAACACAAAAAAAAAGCATAAAGTTGATGGAAAAAAGTTTTAAAGCTTTTTATGAGAGATAGAAAGAGAGCGATTTGGAATAGAGATGAAGTTATGAGCGAAAATTTATAACTGAGAACATAGAAAGCTTTTACAGCTAGTTTTTGGAAATGATTTTTTTGGCATGATAGTTTATTCGGTTTTTTCTTTGTTAAGAAATATTTTTCCTTTCCTTGGAAAAGTAAGGAAAATCATTTCCATATTTAGTTGGTTTTTTTTCTTAGCAGTAGTTTTTGCGATAATTCGTAGCATATTTTGTTAGTAGCAAACATCCCCAACATTATCACTCCTTTGATGAATCCTCCATTTCTTTTTACAATTAATGTCGTAACATTATAATTTGGATACATTTTATTTTTTAAAAAAATATTTTTTTAAAGCAATTTTGAAAAAATTTCAATTCATTGAAATTTTAAAAACCAATTGTTATTTGCTTGTTTTTGTTATTAAAAAACATAAACCTCAATATTTTGTTCATTGGTCAATTCGGTGAATTAAAATGAGTTTTGTTTTAGGATTTGCAATTCTTGTTTGGAATTGGAATCATACACTTTCATTTGGTGCACAGGAGGTTTATCTTTATCTAAAATTGATGATAACTTTACTCAATTAAGTTTTGCGTTTTTTTTAAATCTAATTTATTGCACAAATTTGCATAACATCTAGAAGATGTGTTCAAAGGATTTTTAATGAGTGATAAGTTTGGGAGACCATCCAAAAATAAAAAAATATATAAGAAAATATATAAATGTATGTGGTAGTTAAAAGAGTTTAAAAAAGGGGTATAAAGATTATTAACGTCAACATATTGAGGGGGCCAGCAGGAAAGCCTTTTTTAGGCTACAAATTAAAAACTATATATTTCACATTTCTTTTTACAATGAAGAGAGTAAAAAATTACACCCTACACCACAGATATTGAGATGAGAATTTCACAAAAAAAAAAAAAAAAATAAATAAATAAATATTCAGCAGCCAAAAGTGCGCCCGTGGGCACTCTGTGAGAGTTCTCGAGTGTGTAAGACAAGTGACTGCTCCTGTAAGGTATCTTGTTTGTTTACTAACTAAAAATATTCAAGCAGTAGCTTTTCGTCTTTCGCTGAGGGTAGTTGTTTCGTCGCTCACTTCGTTTTTTTTATAAGAGAGAGAGAGAGAGAGAGAGAGATCCACTCTCACATCTTTCGTGCCTGCAAACAAGAAACAAACAAAGCCTTGGCATTCTTTGTGGTTGGCTAAGCCTGATCATTTGGCCTCAACTGAAAAGTAGCAGAGGGAGAGAGAGAAACATGGCGTATTAAAATTTAACTCAAGCACGGCATGAAAACTTCAAGTATCGATTTTATTCAAAAGAAAAATCAATGAGCCGTGGAAGTTAATTTAAAGTAGAATCGACATTTGGAGAATGAAAGGAGTGCCTGAAGATATCACCCAGTTTGTCCATTGAGGAAAAATTCAAGATTTATTGAAAAGGAATTGGCTTAGTGAGTTTAAGGCCCCCGGAAATCTAGCAACTGAAAATAAATATTCTAAAATCACATATTTCTCAGTCGGCGTAAAATATTTCAGCGATCTTGTGCGCTACCACATACGATAATGTGTAAGATAATAAAGGTTATGGTCCCCACGCACACATATATTGATGCGTTCTATAGGTACGACCACTTGAATTAAAGGGCAAACAGCCCTGCAATGTTCTCCATTCAATATTAAAATATAACAATAAATGTGTGGTTGCGATTAGGTTAAGTTCAATTAGTTTTCGTACTACTTACGGAATGTATTTTTTAATAAAAACTAGAATTTGAATTTATTTCTCATCACTTTACATAGCTCCAGTCGAGCCGAATAGAAAATACAGTTGACAATCGAAGAGGGAGATTGGACTCTATTCACATTATTAATAACATAGATCCGCCAAGCAGGATCCAGTATAGAATTGACAATCGAAGAGAGAGATTGGATTATATTCTCATAACAAAAGTGATCAATTCAGGTTTGGGCGAGGAGACAAAAATAGGCCCAGCGATAATGGGTTTCCGTGAGAGTGCACGATGATAAGAAAAGCGTCGAAGTGAGAGTTTCCCTATGGAACTCACCCATCCTATTCTTTCATTATCGGAATCCAGTGAGGTTGCTGAGCCCCGTGCTGAGTCTGGATATCTTTTAAGGGTGGTCGAGTAAAACTAAATAATGTTTATATCCCTACTTAAGTCACTGATGTAAGTAAATTTGTGTGCGGTATCTTGGCCATCTTTTATTTGATATTCGAAAAAGAAGACATAACATCTCAAGCCTAGAGACTTGGAAAAATGCTTTACAGAAAGTATGAGGAAATATTCAGACACTTTGCATGGACAAAATGATTAAATCTATTCCAAAGTGGCTCAAAGCCGGATAACAAAGGATACCACACAAAGTATTAAACAGCTAAGAAAATCAAACAGCAATGCAATATTCTCCATTCAATATTAGAATAGATAAGAATAATTGTGTGGCTGCGATCAGGTTAAGTTCAATTAGTTTTTGTGGCACTTAAGAAACATATTTTTGAAATAAAATCAGAATTGAATTAATAGGCAAGCCATTCGGTTGGTTTTCTTTTCTCATTTAAGCATTGATCCTCCGACCAGGATCCAAAAACAGAATACTATGTTGACAATCGATGAGGGAGATTGGACTCGATTCTCATTACAATTCCTTTCCATAAAAAAATATATATTTTTTTTTTTCATTTCCCAGTTAACCTGCAGGAAGCCCTGCAATATTCTCCATTCAATATTAGAATATATAAGACTAATTGTGTGGCTGCGATTAAGTTAAGTTCGATTAGATTTTGTAACACTTAAGAAACATATTTTTTTTAAATAAAAATCAGAATTGAATTAATAGGCAAGCCATTCGGTTGGTTTTCTTTTCTCATTTAAAACATTGATCCTCCGAGCAGGATCCGAAAACAGAATACTAAGTTGACAATCGATGAGGGAGATCGGACTCTATTCTCATTACAATTCCTTTCCATAAAAAAATATTTTTATTTTTCATTTCCCAGTTAATCTGCAAGAAGCCCTGCATTATTCTCCATTCAATATTAGAATAGATAAGAATAACTGCGTGGCTGCGATAAGGTAAAGTTAGATAAGTTTATGTAGCACTTAAGAAACATATTTTTGAAATAAAATCAGTATTGAATCAAGAGCCAAACCATTCGGTTGGATTTCTTTTCTCATTTAAACATCGATCCTCCAAGCAGGATTCGAAAACAGAATACTAAGTTGACAATAGAAGAGGGAGATTGGACTCTATTCTCATTACAATTCCTTTCCATAAAAAAATATATTTTTGTTTCATTTCCCAGTTAACCTGCAAGAAACCCTCCAATATTCTCCATTCAATATTAGAATAGATAAGTATAATTGTGTGGCTGTGATTAGGTTAAGTTCGATTAGTTTTTGTAGCACTTAAGAATCGTATTTTTGAAATAAAATCAGAATTGAATCAACAGCCAAACCATTCGGTTGGTTTTCTTTTCTCATTTAAAACATTGTTCCTCCGAGCAAGATCTGAAAACAGAATATTAAGTTGACTATCGATGAGGGAGATTGGACTCGATTCTCATTACAATTCCTTTCCATAAAAAAATTCATTTTTTTTCATTTCCCAGTTAACTTGCAAGAAGCCCTGTAATATTCTCCATTCAATATTAGAATAGATAAGTATAATTGTGTGGCTGCGATCAGGCTAAGTTCGATTAGTTTTTGTAGCACTTAAAAAACATATTTTTGAAATAACATCAGAATTGAATCAACAGTCAAACCATTTGGTTGGTTTTTTTTTTCTCATTTAAACATTGATCCTCCGAGCAGGATCTGAAAACAGAATATTAAGTTGACAATCGATAAGGGAGATTGGACTCTATTCTCATTACAATTCCTTTCCATAAAAAATTATTTTCTTTTTCATTTCCCAATTAACCTGCAAGAAGCCCTGCAATATTCTCCATTCAATATTAGAATAGATACGAATAATTGTGTGACTGCAATTAGGTTAAGTTCGATTAGTTTTTGTAGCACTTAAGAAATTAATATTTTTGAAATAAAATCAGAATTGAATCAACAGTCAAACCATTCATTTCTCATTAAAACATGGATCCTCCGAGCAGGATCCGTAAACAGAATACTAAGTTGACAATCGATGAGGGAGATTGGACTTTATACTCATTACAATTCCTTTCCATAAAAAATATATATATATTTTTTTTCATTTCCCA